TTTGGGCGTTCAGAACTTCCAATTCAACGGCAAGATATACAAACAGATGAAAGGAACTACAATGGGATCACCGATATCTGGAATGATTGCAGAAGCAGTGAAGCAGAGACTGAAAGCCATCGTCCTAACTGTGATCAAACCAAAATTCTGGATTCGCTATGTGGACGACACTTTTGTCATCATTGAAAAAGATGATATAGAAAACACCCACAGTTTGATCAACAACGTTTTCAATGACATCAAATTCATAATGGAGAAGGAGTTAAACAACCAACTACCATTCATGGATGTTATGGTCAATAGAGCAAATACGGGAAAGCTGAAAACACAAGTGTACAGGAAACCAACACACACTGACCAAATCCTCAACTACAATAGCAACAACCCAACAACCCACAAGATGACTTGCGTGCAGACTCTATTCAAATGAGCGAGAACACACTGCAGTACAACAACTTCACGGAAAAACGAAGAAAACTACTTGATGTCCATCCTAAAGAAGAACGGTTACCCACGAAACTTTATCACAAGATGCCTATCCCGTACATCACCAACTACAAAGTCATCGACAGAAACCAACAAACGCATCGTCTTACCATACATAAAGAATGTATCAGAAAACACAGCAAGATTACTGAGACCACTTGGAATTGGTGTGACTCATAAACCAACAAATCCCCTCCAAACACTATTATGCAGACCAAAGGATGCAACAAGCAAAGAAGACAAACCGAATATCATTTACAAAATCAGCTGCAATATCTGTAGTCAGCACTACACTGAACAAAGCGGCCGCCCTATTCGCCTTCATCTACATGAACACCAATTGCCTATTAAATGCCACGACATTTCGTCACTCATTTCAATGCATGTGGATAACAACTATGGACAAGAATTCAATTTGGACAATGTAGAAATTTTGGACGGAGAGAGGAAACACAAAGAAACTCAGAGAGTTCCTAGAAGCTTGACATTTAGGTCAGTCACTCAGTCAATCGGCAATCAATAGATGTATAGACATAGACCCAATCTATCAACCAATAAGAAAAATGATAAACGACAGAAAGGTCAGAGGTGAAGCAGGGGAACAGCCAACAGGAAAGTCTATACAATCAATGACATAACAATCGAAGGAAACAATCAATCACAGACCACATCATCAGAGCAAGCTACTAAATCACTGATGGAGAGATATTGACGGCTCACTTCATACTGAAGTTACTGCTGATGTCGTCTATCAAGACGATGAAAGGTCGACGATTAAACAACCTAGCTGAGAGAACACAATGCAACCAAATCCATCCACTTGAGCTGCAAATATTCTCCATTATCTTTACCATTATAACATGATTCTATCCACAGTATATTTTGTATGATTAAATGAATCAATCTAACACTGAAAATTGTCTTGTTTTAATCTTACTGCTCAAAATGTGTAGTATTATTACTATATTCATCAAGTTAATTCAAGAAAAGTTCAGTTTTTATAAGATTTTTGATGTGATTTATGTAATTTATGCACGTATGCACGTGTAAGTCAGATGATATGATGAAATATTTTCAATATAAATATGACTATTTTCAGTAATTTGTTTAAATGGATGCCTTAAACGGATTGAAACCATTTAACAATCTACATTAATATTTGAAAAAATACACCAATGTGTTCATTTTTCACCATCTTTGAAATGAAAATCATTTAACATTGCAAAATCTCCAGTGTAAGATCACACTATGCGCGTAACTCATTGACAAATAACGTCGTGGATTAGGTGTTGAATGTTTTGTACAAATTTATTGTAGTTTAGAAGATTGGTAATTTATTGATGTGCAGTAGTGATTAAAGGTGAATTGAAACATCTAGGTTGGGACAGGATTCAAACCAGCCCCGGTATCATACCATTTGAGTTATGAGACCTATCTACTAACAGAATCTTAATTCTAATCAAACCACCAAAATTTTCGCCTAGCTGCTATGTGAATCCATGATGTGCAACTGTCCTTTGATCATAGTGATACTGATTTCTCATTTTCGATTATGGAGAGAAGACCTGACTAGGCATTTAATGGGTATACGATTAACGGACAGTTATGCGCATCAGTAATTTTATTTGATAGTTAGGTAAAATCCTCGATGATGGAAGTGAAATTAAAATTTGCTGGACAAATGGGTTTCCTAACTCAGATGGTAGAGAAAAGAGTTGGTAACTCGGAGGATGGAATTCAGGTTATTATTTCACCTTCTATCATCACTTCAAACAATGTAGTATAACCATCAATGTTTACGCCTCAGGTGTTTGGCATTAATCGAAATGAAATCTTAAACTTTAATTCTTTTCTTCCTTCAGAATAATCATTTCGATGTAGTTACATCTAGTTACATCTATTATCTACCTTAACTTTATATGAGAATTTGATAGTATAAATGGATAAGTGAAATCGTCGTAAACATAAATTATCTTCACTGAAATTTGACTCTTCTGTTCGTTCATTATTGCGATTAAACTCGGCAAAGCTGATTTTCCACCACGTCACCGAGTGTTACAGTCAGAGACATTACCACTAAGCTATTCAAGCAGTAACTGATCTCCTATAGGACTGAATTAGCTTCACTGACTGGTTACAGGAGATTAATCAATTTCAAGTTGTCTAATCCTGAGGGCTTATCGAATTTGATAGATCATTTTTGCAAAGAGGTAACTAGGTTAGGAGATTCCATTTTCAAGCTGCACCTTGATTGGTGATGAATGGTTAGAGGTGATTTTCAAATGGCCCTGGCTGACCTAGATAACTCTCAAGCCTTTTGGTACTCATCAGTAAGGTGTATTGCATGTCAACTCAGTGCCACAGTAACAAGCCTTACTACTGAGCTATTCGGGTGAAATCCAACTTCTGTATGAATGACTGAATTGCATATATTAACTGGTAGCTGGAGAGCAGCTAGTCTGTATGAAGTTTCAAGGAAGTCTTGTTGGTGAATGCCAACAAGCAGCAAAGCTACTTAAGTCAGTGAGGGCCTCCTGCAGATTGTCTCAAACCAGCTGTTATCAATAGAAGTGTACCGTCATTCTGAGCTCTTTTTAGACTGTATAACACTGAATACTCTTTAATATAGCTGTAGTTCATTGGTTTAGGCAGTTGATTGTCAACCGGTTAGTCACAGGTTCGAACACTACCCTACGTACTGAGATTTTGGTAGCTAGGTATGTATTTACAATGAGGACCCAAAAACGAATACTGTTTAGTTCAGAAAGTAGGTGTGCTTTCTTGTAATCTCCCGTTGCTATACTGATTCGGATTCCTTGACCTCTAGTGACACATGGGCTCCTATTCGGACAGCTTGTCACTGCTTGATTACTCATTATGTTACAATCTGCTTGGCAACTAGTAGAGGAATCCAGAAAGCGTGTTTCGTCCTAATTCTGACTTGTCAGCTGGTAGATAAACCAGTCCTACAGAAAGTCAGTTCTAGCCTGAATCACATGGTGGTTACATCTCTGACTTTTGAAATGACTGGGGCGAGTTCAAATCACCAGGAAATACTAGTTTAAGATACTACTACTGAATAACTTGAGTAGGCTGATCGATAGTATTTCGATAGCCAGATCAAAATGATCTGAATACTGGACGGCCGTTTCGCTCGTTTGAGACTGAGCTCATCAATGGTGTGCTCAGATAAATTCAGCTGGTTGGGCCGAATCACTACATATTAACTGAATCTGGCTAGCTAACTTGTATGCACTGGTATACCTAATAATGCTACAGATCAGCCAGAATGGTTCCTAACTACTCAAGTTGTTCAGTATTAGTGTCTTTCGCTAGTTCATGACATTGCATCAGGAATCACACTCGAGTGAGTAGTTTCCAAGGAAAATTTCACTGACATCCCATCTGGACAGTTGAAAAACTGCTTAGCTATGAGGAATATCAACGTAGACTGAACAACTTGTAAGTAATTTTCACACACTTGAACACTGGTTTCCTGATGGGTGCCAAGAAGTACAAAACCTTGGTCTAGAGTTTCTTATCCTTGATATACTCAGTAGAAACATGCTATGACTTTACTGAATACTAAACGGGGTTTATTTATACTCGTTTATCATTGATAACCATAGTTTTATATCGAATAGTAATGCAACCCTGATTATTAATTATTTCGGCAAAAAGTACTGAGATTTATCAAATTTAGCTGAAAAAAAGTGAAAAATTTCATACTATTCAACGAAAACATCACTAACAGAACACGGACTGACATCAGTTGGCAAGCCATTGAAAATTTGGGAGCATTGGATGGCTATTTCCTCCTAGTATGGGACCCCACAGCAGTACGCACCCACTACCCGGCTAGGGGTCTAACTCAGGACATTCAGGTTTCGCGGCAAACGCGTTAACCATTCAGCCACTGGGTCGGTTTTCATTGGTTCACAGTTTCCAACTTCTGTCAATTCACGACATAGTGCGACTATTACCCAAGGTCTTCAGATGGCATCCACTTTGACCCCACAGGTCACAGCTTCTCATTAGAACTTCGTCATATTGTTTGGCTATTGCTCGTAATATTGCTGGCTGGACGAAAAACAGATAATCTTGCTCAAATGACGATATTGAACATGTTTAATTATGTATAGATACCTAAATGGTGGAACAATTAGAATCAGGGGCCTCTGAGTTATCGACCCTTTGTTCTACCGACATGACCCATGAGACAGAGTTACTGATAAGGTCTTAATTTCACTTCAGTTACCGAGAGTTTTGTTTATCTGCCACCTCAATCGATAATACATAACTGTCTACGCAGCACAGCTACGTCAGCTAGTCTTAATTTAAACTGAACTGTATTAGAGAGAGAAAGTGCTATATTCATTATCAATGAGACTTTACTTCCTGATAATTTGTAAGTCGCTGGTATATATCATTTTGCTACATAGGTGTTTTGTTTCATTCTCAAAGCCCATACAATACACAGAGACATATATCTATAAACACAAACAATCGATTACCTTTCAGCTAATTGATCCAAACTGGGTGATTCAGATAGATGATTCTGTCTTGTACTAGAAATTTTTCTTGATCTATTCTTCATTGATATTACTTTCTTACCGCTTTCACTTGTATCTTCTGTAGTACAGTCTGTAATCCTTTGATCATCATCATCATCATCATAATCACTATCGCTTGTACTTGATTGATCAATATTTATGCATCTTGAGTGAATTGACACTTCCCTGATATTATTATTACTAGTAAGTATTGATTTACTATTTACTGGATTATCTGATCTTTCATATAAGCGATGGTTAGCGCTTAACGTACGACTTATTGGTATTGGTGTAGAATTGTCTGATTTTGAGTCAAATATCTTCCGTTTTGTATGATGATGATGATGACGGTGATGTTGATTACTTTCATTACTGTCATTATTCTGTTTAGATAACTGTCTTTCAATTTTCTCATCATCAACTTGTTTATTAGTTGTAATAGTGGTTGTTGTCAGAGTTGTAGTGTTAGATAATGATGTTTCACTTTCTGAAAGATATTTAATCTTATGTACAGATTGTGTAGATTGACTTAAACTGTGTGATATATTTGAAGTGAGATAACAGTTTGGTTCCACTTTTTCAATACAATCATTTAATTGACGTAATTGTTCACGATATTGAATCAATAAATCCTCTATATTTTCTGAATGTTCCAAATCATTCATATTTACATTTTTATAGATTATATTAACTGAATCAAATTTACAAGGTAAATAATCTTTTTGAACAATTGATGAATTCCATGAATCGCTTTGTTTTGAATTTAAGGTTTGCTCAGTTTCATTGTTACTATCCATAATTGAAGTATTTGAAGTGTAATTGTTAACAGAATATGTATCACTTTGATGATGTAATTTTTTTACAGTACTAGGTTTTTCTGAAGATACTTTTCTATCAATTTCATGAACGCTAGTCATCTGCAAAAGAAAAATTGTACAAAAATTGTACTGAAAAAGGCGTATATTTAAACATTTTTTCATTCGCTTTAAAGAACGGTTTACTGAGACTGAGTGAGTTATTTATTACCTTTTGAATGAACGATCTGCATATCTTGAGACTTTGATCAGTTGGTTTTATACAAAATAAACTTATTCATGAAGCAAGTATCGTACCCTGACGAAGTGTTCAAGTGAAGATTCGTTGTCCAGGTCCTTTTTAAGCTAACTGGCAATCAGAAATGGAAATTAACTCATCTACTTTTCCATATACTAAATGTCAGTTGGCACAGACGAGGACATCAAAGCCAGTCAGGATCGGAAAGACAGCAACACAATCCTTCCTGCATTAACCTGAAACCAGTGTGGAGATCTCCTCCACTCCACTCACCATAAAGCCTGAACAACATCCGGATTTTCAACACCAATTCAGTCAAGTAAGTCAGTGCTTCAATGTGATGGTTGAGAGACTTGACACGTTACGAATAGCAATTCCAACTAACTAAAGATATTCATCAACAACTGACTACGCTCGCTCGTTACTGAAGATCAGATGGTCGGAAAGAATAATAAGAATAAGTGACAAGGAACTCTGGCTGGCTGGCTGACTGGGAGCGAACCAACGAAGCAAGAAGCTATCGCTGAAAAAATATGCAATGGAAGGAAATGGAGATGGATTGGAATGGAATGGAATGGGGTGGGCATGCTCTGAGAAGATCGATTGGGAAAATCAGGCGCCGAGCCAGTCACTCGAGTGGAATGCAGATGGGGAGCGATGAGTTGGACGTCGGAGATGAGGGTGACATGGAGGATATGGTGTGAGGAGGAGATGAGAGGTTGTGGGCATCGGTGGAGCCAGGTTGAAAAGACTGGAGAGAACAGAGTGGAGTGGAGTCCTATTTTCCACTAGGAACCCAAGGGACAAATAACAGTATAATAATAATCATAAACGTCAGTTGGTAAAATAAAGAAGTGCCACTCAATTTAACTTTTCATCTTTCGATCGAACAGTAGAGAGATCATGAGTTAAAAAAACTTTTAAAACTTTGTCAGATTATAACACTTTTTCAGCTGTATTTCACTGTTTGGTCACTGTCACAGACAAACAAATCGTTGATCATCAGTGATCAGTCTTAAATATCGAATCAACTGGTTCGTTGATGATACCTCTTCAAAAATTACCATCGTATTATTATTATTAAGTCTATTTTATGACTTATCTCAAATTCAGTCTGTTAGTCTTCAACCGTTTAATCGATTCATATGGTTAGTCTTCGTTATTATTGAGTACTGAGGATAAATCACTTTGTCTTACTAGCCCATCTGGTAACCTACTTTTTATCTGATCACATATTTCGACTAGATAGATACTACTTCTCAGTACTTCCATATAAGGTAACTGGTATAGTGTGCGAAACTTTTGTTCAAATCCCCATATGAAGTCTTAAATCTTTCAAAACCAATCATGTCACTTCAGAGTTTTGAGAAAAAGCACGTGAACCTACATGTAAATATCGGAGTGGTCGAAGAGATTAGATAAATAGGACATAACACTAATCATACAGAAATTGTGGCATTTGTACAGTTATGGATTGCCTAATTTAATTTATTTCTAGCGGATATAAGTTAAGACTCTATCAGTTAATTTAAGTGGACAATTATACTAGACATTCGCTTACTAGATAAACAATTACAGATAGTTTGTATACACTGCGATACCTATTACGTGCTTAAATATTACTCAGAGGGATTGAGTTCCCAACTGACAACTCATTGGTCGATAGTTCACAGTTTAATCCAGTTAACTTTACGATGAGTGAATCAATATTACAAATAACCTGCTATTCGGAACACAAAAATGTCTTTTCGTAGTGTAATGCAGTGTAAAGTATGCAATTCATACCTTTCATATGATTGCTTCAAACCCCAGAACATTATCCACTAGGCCACTATGTCACGATAGCCACTTCTTGTGCGAAGTGTATAATGTTATTGTGTTGTAATCTTTCAGTTTTAAAAACTGTAAAGATATACATCACTGGATGTCGTAGATAAATGCTACTTAAATGAAAATAAATTAACTTAAAAATATTCAGAAGTAGTATTCATCATGAACTGTCATCAGTTGGGGGACCATTGAAAATCTAGGAACACTGGACAGCTGTTTCATCCTAGCATGGGACTCCTCAGCAGTACTCACCCACTACCCGGCTACATTACTGTGTAGTGCTCATTAGTGACTTGCTTCCAAATGGATATCAGAAAGCTCTAATGAAAAGCCGTGACCTATGGGGTCAACCGGTCAGAAGTGAAGAGGATGCTAACTGAAGACCTTGGGTGATAGTTGCGCTATGTCGTGAATTGACAGAAGTTGGAAACTGACCCAGTGGCTGAGTGGTTAACGCGTTCGCCGTGAAACCTGAATGTCCTGAGTTAGATCCCTAGCCGGGTGCTCACTGCTGAGGAGTCCCATACTAGGAGGAAACAGCCATCCAATGCTCCCAGATTTTCACTGGTTCCCCAACTGATGACAGTCCATGATAAATACTACTTCTAAAATAAAAATCCCCATTCATCTCAAAAATACATTCAAAATATTTCACAATGCATCAGAATGTAGAAAGACTGAGAAATGAAATATATGAATTTCTGTTAACTCCTACCAAGCTAAATTGGCTTGTTGATCATATGAGTTTATTTGAAATATGTGCTATCGTTTAACTAAACCAAACTCTTTTTACATAGTACATAATCCTATTCAGTTGTTTAGTGTTGTCAAGTGAAGCACCACCTCCTAGATCCTTCAAGAAGCCCGAAATTCTCTGAAAACATTCATAGTCAAGGATCATACATTGTAGTGCATTGACGAGAAGCCACTACGAGATCATATTTATGAGTTTCAGTTTACCTACTGATCGGTAGCTGCCACCTTGATATGATGCTCGGACTTGTGTAATAACAATGACTTAATGCGCTACTGTTTTTGATTACTTTTTTTCTCATTTCTTTATTTTTTATCTCGGTAGAGTCTCGCTTAATGTGCTAATATATGATGTAGCAACTTGAACCACTAAACATGAATATTAGTTCCTATCTCGATACTACCAGTGTGTCTGTCTATCACCTTGGAGTCACTGAATGTGTTACTGGGCAAGAATATATATGCTTATCAAATAAAATATCCCCCAGCTTGTTTATATTTTGACTATTACCCCTGTTGAAGAGTTAGCAAAGTGCTGGCTACAGGCAGAGTATATTCCTGTTTGAGGAAATTTGTACGTTTACTGTTCTAGTAGTAATAAAGTACGTCCATATGGACCATTTAAGTAGTATATTTATTTACGGTTTTATAATAACCTTTTATCTTAGAGTTTGGTTACAGTAAATCAGAAACTTCCTTTTTAAGAATTACATACTTCATATAACTGTAGAACCTGAGCACTGTGGTAGGATGCCATTCCATATTAGATTTGTTTATTTGATATATAACACAGTGATACAGTATTACTTACTTGACGACGTTTCGAGCATAAATTATCATTGCTCACCATCATATTAATGTCATCTCCCGTCTACTTGTGTAGAAAGAAGTTCATAGTCTCCATTGTGTCATCCTATGAGGAAGATACATCAGAAACTTTACATAGGACCCTCAACAAAGCTGGAATTAGGGTGACATTTAAACCCACAAACTCATTATGAGATGAACTTTGTCGGCTGGCTTAAGGATCCGATAGGACCAATTAAGCAAAATAATCTGATCTATCAAATTCCATGCAATGACTGTGAATGAGGTCAAGTACATAGGTCGAACTAGCCGGTCGGGGTCAATTAGAATAGAGGAACATAGGAATTCAGCTAAATATTGAATGACATTCCCGAATAAGATCAATAATCTAGAAAAACACTCAGTTATTGTAATTTATGCACTAAAATACAACCACACAGGGTGGGATGAAACCTCTGTACTGAAGTCTAATATAATTAGGTGGACAGAGTGAGAGAGAGAGAGGGAAAGATTGTTCATCGAATCAACACCCAATACATGTAACAGAAATGAGGCAACACCTGTATCAGAGATATGAAAAACTTCACTACCAATAGAAACAAAGAATAAGAAGCAGATGTCGAAAGGTGTGTGATTACATTGCTTTGATGGTGAGCAATGATAATTTATGCTCGAAACGTCGTCGAGTAAGTAATACTGTATCACTGTGTGTTATAAATCACATAAATCTAATAGGGTATCATACTTCTTTTATTCAGTCACTGATAAGCAGCATTGAGTTCTTTGAGCTGGGTCGTTCAATCGTGGAACTTTCATCACCTTTCTAGACAACATCAGAGAGCACAATACAACCAAAATCATTTAAGTGAGCCGAAAATATACTCCACCATTAGTAACATGATAAGTGATGCTTATTATTATTTGTCCCTTGGGTTCCTAATAAAACATACACCTTCAGGAGCACGTCTCCATTACACTCTCTTCTCTTCTCTACAATCTTTTCAACCTCGCTCCACGACACCCCACAACCTCTCACCTCCTCCTCACACCATCTCCTCCTTGTCACCCTCACCTCCGACGACCAACTCGTCGCTTACCATCTGCATTCCACTCGAGTGCCTGGCCTGGCACGTGATGTCCCCATTCGGTCTCCTCAGTCCATGCCCAACCCACCCCATTCCAATCCATCTCCATTTCCTTCCACTGCATATTTGTTCAGCAATAGCTTCTTGCTTCGTTGGTTCCCTGCCTGCCAGCCAGCCAGCCAGCCAGCCAGCCAGCCAGCCAGCCAGCCAGCCAGCCAGCCAGCCAAAGTTCCTTGTCACTTATTCTTATTATTCTTTCCGACCATCTGATCTCCAGTAACGAGCGAGCCTAGTCAGTTGTTGATGAATATCTGTAGGTTGTTGGAAATGCTTTTCGTAACGTGCCAAGTCTCTCAACCATCACATTGAAGCACTGACTTACTTGACTGAATTGGTGTTGAAAATCCGGATGTTGTTCAGGCTTTATGGTGAGTGGAGTGGAGGAGATCTCCACACTGGTTTCAGGCTAATGAACCCCTGTCTTCTTTTCTCATTCTGATTTTGACATCCTCGTCTGTGCCTGTGTCACCTGTAGTTGAAACGGTGCTGCCTTGCCTAGTTAGGTGTAGGTGTAGGTGTAGGTGAAGGAGGCTACTTCCTTTAAGTCTCTCCCGTTGATGGTGATTGAAGCTTGTTGTTGTTGTTGTTGGTGATGCTAAACACTAATAATTACCTATAAATACTTTTGATATACACTTGAAGATATTATTTACTTACAGGTGTTTTTGTACTGACTGTATTCGTTTCTGACTGCCTTCTGTTGTCTACAGTTGAAATAGAGTTCTGAACTGTAAAACTGTAATGTCTCGGTATTCCACTTTTAGATAAGATTGAATTGTTCTGTAGATTATTTGTGGGTTTTTCACAGGTGACTGGACTTTTATGATTCCATGATAGAAAAACTTGACTGTTTAATGCTTCTGTTAAGTTTTGTAAAAGACTTGGTAATTCAGCGATTTGTGGTGTGATCTGAAATAATTAGAAAGAGGGAGAAAATTAGTTGTCTACAAATGATCTAATATCATAGAAATAGAGTCTCCTGTTTTACTCTGTCATATGTGATCACCACAGTTCATTTAAATGCATGACATATACTAATAGAAGAAAGCGTTAGAATTGCTTATTTACATTATCTCCTAGGTTAATGAAAATAGAACCACTTTTTTCCAATTTTCTCTTACTGTTTCGTTTACCACTGCTCATATTTAACAGAATTGGTGGAATTCGACTGCGAAAAAGAAGTGAATGAGAGGCTGATAGGATTCATTTGAATGGATTTATGCAAATTTTAGCAGTTGATACGATATATAGTTGTAAATCACTGAATTTTACAAAGAAGCTAGTTTTATCGACACTAGTTACAATGTTGAAACATCATCTCAAACTTTATTCAGACAAATGTATCGAAACCATAGAGTTGTTGAGATTTATCTGGCTTCGCTTAGCTGATAACAGAAGGATTACATGAAAAGTGGAGAATTGTGAGGCATCTATTAAACTGACGAAATATACCCAGTTATTCATTAACAAGAACAGGGCATATATCAGCAAAGAGGAAATATTTCTTTTCAATGACTTCATTATCAAGCTGTACAGCAGTCGTATTTATACTCGGTAAAGTGACAGATAATTGCACTGAAAACAGTTACTCAGTCAATATGTAAAATATACAATCGGTGTAGGTGGTGGTATTTATTCAAGTGGAAGGGATCGAAAATGAACCATTGTGAATAAGGAACGAATTGATAACAAGTGGTGAGATAAGAGACACGTGTTGTTAAAGTATTGTAAGACGGTGATAATTAAGCTGAAATGTGTACAATAGGTCAATGAATAAGGAATGAATCGATATTAAAGAGTGAAATTTGGGTCAAATGTTGTCAATCAAGTGAAAATTGGTGATATTGATGATGATAATAGAAGAGAAGTATACCAAAGTGAAGTGAAATTGACAAAATCAACAAAATGAATTGTTAAGGCCAATGAAGAGAAAGTGGTTTCACAAAATGTTTTCAATACAAAGTTTTGGCTTTTGTTCATGTATAGGTAATGCTTCAGCTATGCATAAATGGTGGAAACGTATACCTTTGGAGTAGTTGAATTTAACTTTGTAAATTATTTTAAAGGGTGGATCCCGAGGTGCTGAGTGACCTGATTCAATTAGGTGTTCCTATATGGATGAAGTCGTTTTGCTTTGTTCACCTCTGGTAAGCCAAACCGGGTAGTGTTCAGCAACATGTTTTCGGAGGGCCCGGTTTGGCTTACCAGAGGTGAACACAGCGAAACGACTTCATGCATATGTGAACACCTTATTGAAAACCTAAGAACATTGAGGAGTATCGTACTAGTAATAAAACCGTGCTCTCAGTTTTTTAATACTACTCCAACTGATATGAGTACATGACAGAAACCACTTTGAAATTAGCCTTTAGGCTGTTTACTATTTCTGTCATGAAAATCATGCTTTTCCATTCCTGAGGACAATAATCCACAAAGTGAGATATTCTTACTAATTAGGAGATTTATCGGAAACTAAAGCTCACTAGATGGAATCCAGTTCCAAAGAAAGCATTCAACGATGTTGTAAGTCCTATTTACTTACTGTAGTTCCTGTAACCTCTGAAAATGAAGTGACAGCTCAGATATTTACTGAAAACCACAATTTACAGATTGTCTTTCACACTCAATTCGTCCAGGTTTTCAATAATGGTTAGTAGTTTGACCTGTCAAACAAATTAAAAATCACTCACAATTATAATTAAATATTACGATACTTTTTCTAGTAAGATTATTTGGTCAAGATATTTTGGTTATTGACTTTGGCTATGATTACAATGCCTACTTTGTATATTAGCTGTTAGGTGTTCAGATCAACACAACCAGGTTCAAGGAGCGTATTAATGAATGCATATACGTATTTTTAGTAAATTCTCGTCAAGCTTTACATTTACAAACTATTCAGTATATCCATTTGATACAAACAGGGTTAAATTAATTCAGGTGGTATATGAATCAGAAGATAAGAGTAAAGGTGATAATAACAAAATCTTTGAAATGCATTTTTCAGCTGAATACTGATTTTAATTTAGAGGTAGTATTCATCACTGACATTATTTGGGGGAACTATTGAACTTCGACCCAGTGGCTGAATAGTAAACGCGTTTGCCATGAAAATTGAATATCCTGAGTTAAATCCTTAGCCGGATCATGGGTGCATGGTGCTGAGGAGTCCCATAGTATGTCGAAACAGTTGTTCAGTGCTCCCAGATTTCTAATGGTTCTCCCAACTGATGTCAGTCCATGATGAATACTACATCCAAAACCTTTGACAGTTTATATATTAAATTTTGAGGGGGTTGTGGAGATTTGGAAATATTTCAAGTTGTTATTCATCGAAGACTGACATCAGTTGGAGGAACAAAGGAAACCTGGGAGCACTGGACAGCTGTTTCATCCTAGTATGGGACTCCTCAGCAGTGCGCACCCACGACACCACCAGCAGGGATCGAACCCGCGACCTTCAGGTTCCGCGACCAGCGCGTTACCATTGAGCCACTGGGTCACATTCCAATGCTCCATATTTCCAACTTCTGTTAGCTCACGATATAGCGCGAACCGCCACCTAATGTCATCGTTGAGTATTTGTCCTCACGGCCATCAGGCTTGACTCCACCGGTCACGACTTGTATATATATATATATTCTCACATATATATATTCTTATATATTCTCAGTAGTGAATCCTTGTAGGTGTGTGAGTGAATTGTGTATATGCAGGGATACAGAGAAGTAAAATTATTATCGCATAGCGACTAGATAATAAAATGTTAAAATTTTTAATCAATTATGAAACTGAGGGAGAAAAATAAAATGATAATGATAAGAGTATAAACAGGGATATCATTTTCATTCATCTGGGTGATCGGGATGGAAACTATTTTATTTGTATTTGTTTTGAAGTTGAAGGCTATTGGAGAGAAAGGGAATGAACAAATATCTCCAGATATTACTATTTATTGACATACTTGTTATTTTAGGTTACTATGTTGGATCGAATTGTCCGACCTCTATTGGCATATGGGCTCCTATGTGGATGCTTCAATATTGCCTGAATGTTAATTGTGATAATTTGATTGGTTGCAGCTAGCAGAGAAATTCAGGATGCGCGTTTCGTCCTATTTGGAACTTGTCAGCTGGATGTACTTGCACCCCAGTGAGGCATACGCATAGGAGCCCATATGCAAATACACGTCGAATAAATCGATCCAACGAAATAACGGAGAATAACACGTAAGTCAATCAATTGTAATAAATACTACCCGTTGGTCACCCATGAGATTACTGGTTGTGGTAGACTGGATCATGCAACAAACCGTGTGGAGTGAGAAGAGGAGGATACCCTGTTTGACCAGGGAAAAGATCCTAGAAGACTTGGATTTCGCCAACGGCTTGCGTCTAATGTCTTGTGGCACAAACTCAAAGATCTACAGTCAAAAACTAAGAAGTTGACAGAAGAGGCGAGGCAGCGAAGACGGGACTTCAAGTGAACCTAGAGAAGGCAGAGGTGATGAAGATACCCAACCAACACCAACACCAACACCACCACCATCACCAACAACAACAACAAGCTTCAATCACCATCAACGGGAGAAACTTAAAGGAAGTAGCCTCCTTCACCTACACCTACATCTACACCTACACCTACACCTAACTAGGCAAGGCAGCACCGTTTCAACTACAGCTGGCACAGGCACAGACGACGATGTCAAAATCAGAATGAGAAAAGCAAGACAGGGGTTCATTAGCCTGAAACCAGTGTGGAGATCTCCTCCACTCCACTCACCATAAAGCCTGAACAACATCCGGATTTTCAACACCAATTCAGTCAAGTAAGTCAGTGCTTCAATGTGATGGTTGAGAGACTTGGCACGTTACGAAAAGCATTTCCAACCAACTACAGATATTCATCAACAACTGACTAGGCTCGCTCGTTACTGGAGATCAGATGGTCGGAAAGAATAATAAGAATAAGTGACAAGGAACTTTGGCTGGCTGGCTGACTGGCTGGCTGGCTGGCTGGCTGGCTGGCTGGCTGGCTGGCTGGCTGGCTGGCTGGCTGGCTGGCTGGCTGGCTGGCTGGCTGGCTGGCTGGCTGGCTGGCTGGCTGGCTGGCTGGCTGGCTGGCTGGCTGGCTGGCTGGCTGGCTGGCTGGCTGGCTGGCAGGGAACCAACGAAGCAAGAAGATATCGCTGAACAAATATGCAGTGGAAGGAAGTGGGGATGGATTGGAATGGGATGGAATGGGGTGGGTTGGGTTGGGCATGCACTGAGAAGACCGAATGGGGACATCATGTGCCAGGCCAGGCCAGGCACTCGAGTGGAATCGAGATGGGAAGCGACGAGTTGGGTGTCTGAGGTGAGGGTGACATGGAGGAGATGGTGTTAGGAGGAGGTGAGAGGTTGTGGGGTGTCGTGGAGCGAGGTTGAAAAGATTGTAGAGAAGAGAAGAGAGTGTAATGGAGACGTGCTCCTGAAGGTGTATGTTTTATTAGGAACCCAAGAGACAAATAATGAATAATAATAATAAAACACTATTCATAATTTTGTCATTTTAAATATTTAAGATAGCCATGATTTGGTAGACTAGTATTTACATGGGAAGGTGATTGAAGATGAAATGTAAGTTTGAATTTTAGCCGAATTCGAACCAACAACCACCGAATTACTGGCTTGATGACCTACCATCTGAGTTACGGGGTCCGATTGCTGACTAGAGATCCAAATTTGCATTTCACTTTCAATCATCACCCAGTATTCATAAATTGTAGAGTTATCCACTGAAACCGTTAGAAAAATTCTGTTTTGACATTTTTAGCAAAGAAAAGTTGGATTTTGATTCACTACAACTTATCTAATTTTTTCAAGCCTTACACAGCACCTGTATGCAACCAGTTATTCCTTAATATACATAAAAATCTTTTTAATATGGCTAATTAAGCTTTCATAGGTAAACTACTGGTAGAACTTCTATGGATAACCACTTGATCAGCATTCCAGATCGAAAGTTTTGTATGGAAGTATGAAGAGAGGTGTAAAATACATGCTTAGAAGATAGAGTTTGAAGCGAATATGTAGTTTCGGCAAAACCTCATCAGGCGTTACGTTTACAATTACAAATTATTCAGTACAGTCATTTGATACCAATATGGTTAACTTAATTCAAATGTATGGTGTTTCGCGCCAGTAAGATTTGCATAGCTGATGCAGTTGCAGGATATACTTCCGAATCTGGCCACATCTATGTGCATTTATAAATTTAACTGCTTCTGTGGAGATAATTACGTAGGTAGAACGGCTCGGAAAATCCATCATCGTTTCATTGAACACTGTCCAGCGTGGTTCGGCAAAAGAACAATGAAATCCATCAAAAGCTCAATATTCACCCATTTAATAAATATTGAGCATAAGGTTGACAAAACCTGTTACTAATATTTTAAAAGTCCCATCAAAATAATCTAAGCTTGTGCGGCTCCGACTACTAAACATCGAAGAAGTCAAGCAGTTAAAATTTTCAAACCTAATTTATGTATTCCGAGATTAACTTTAAAGGCCACCGCAGCAACTGCTGAAGTGACCAATCAGGCTTCGATATTTCGCCTGGGAAGGTACTTTCCCATAAAATAAAGGAATGTAATTGGCTATCTCACTAGTTGCTAGGGTACCCTTTAAATTCTGGAGATGTTTATTATGATAATTTGGTTGGTTGTGGCTAGCAGAAGAATCCAGGACACGCGTCTCGTCCTATTTGGGATTCACTAGTCAGCTGGATGCACCTGCACCCCAGTGATAAATGCTGTTGTTCCCACTGAGACTCGAACCTCGTATCCATTGCTTCAAACACCGAGGCCTTATCCACTATGTCACAGAGGAAGGATAGCCACTTCTTGCACAACAGGTAGTATTTATTATTATTTGTCCCTTGGGTTCCTAATAAAACATACACCTTCACTAGCACGTCTCCATTACACTCTCTTCTCTTCTCTACAATCTTTTCAACCTCGCTCCACGACACCCCACAACCTCTCACCTCCTCCTCACACCATCTGCTCCATGTCACACTCACCTCAGACACCCAACTCGTCATTTCCCATCTCGATTCCACTCGACAACCTGGTCTGGCACGTGATGTCCCCATTCGGTTTTCTCAGTGCATGCCCAACCCAACCCACCCCATTCCATCCCAATCCAATCCATCCCCACTTCCTTCCACTGCATATTTGTTCAGCGATATCTTCTTGCTTCGTTGGTTCCCTGCCAGCCAGCCAGCCAGCCAGCCAGCCAGCCAGCCAGCCAGCCAGCCAGCCAGCCAGCCAGCCAGCCAGCCAGCCAGCCAGCCAGCCAGCCAGCCAGCCAGCCAGCCAGCCAGCCAGCCAGCCAGCCAGCCAGCCAGCCAGCCAGCCAGCCAGCCAGCCAGCCAGCCAGTCAGCCAGCCAGCCAAAGTTCCTTGTCACTTATTCTTATTATTCTTTCCGACCATCTGATCTCCAGTAACGAGCGAGCCTAGTCAGTTGTTGATGAATATCTGTAGTTGGTTGGAAATGCTTTTCGTAACGTGCCAAGTCTCTCAACCATCACATTGAAGCACTGACTTACTTGACTGAATTGGTGTTGAAAATCCGGATGTTGTTCAGGCTTTATGGTGAGTGGAGTGGAGGAGATCTCCACACTGGTTTCAGGCTAATGAACCCCTGTCTTGCTTTTCTCATTCTGATTTTGACATCGTCGTCTGTGCCTGTGCCAGCTGTAGTTGAAACGGTGCTGCCTTGCCTAGTTAGGTGTAGGTGTAGGTGTAGATGTAGGTGTAGGTGAAGGAGGCTACTTCCTTTAAGTTTCTCCCGTTGATGGTGATTGAAGCTTGTTGTTGTTGTTGGTGATGGTGGTGGTGTTGGTGTTGGTGTTGGTTGGGTATCTTCATCACCTCTGCCTTCTCTAGGTTCACTTGAAGTCCCGTCTTCGCTGCCTCGCCTCTTCTGTCAACTTCTTAGTTTTTGACTGTAGATCTTTGAGTTTGTGCCACAAGACATTAGACGCAAGCCGTTGGCGAAATCCAAGTCTTCTAGGATCTTTTCCCTGGTCAAACAGGGTATCCTCCTCTTCTCACTCCACACGGTTTGTTGCATGATCCAGTCTACCACAACCAGGAATGTCATGGGTGGTATTAGGCAGCCTTGTTTCACTCCTGTCTTCACTTCAAAGGGTGACTGAGCTTCCCGTCGTGAATTCCTTGTCATGTGGCGTCTACATAGAGTTGTTGAATGAGGTTGATAAAGGTTTGTGGTATTCTGTAGTGTTGAAGCAGTTGCCAGATTACTTTTCGGTCGAGGCTGTCGAAGGTTTTTTCAAAGCCGATGAAGTTGAGGTAGAGAGTTGACTGCCATTCTACACTCTGTTCTATGATGATGCGAAGCGTTTCAATTTGGTCCGCGCATGATTTGTGCTTCCTGAAGCCTATCTGTTCTGGTCGTAATTTTGAATCCAGTGCATCCTTTAGCCTCTCTAGGATGATGCGGCTTAATATTTTGCTTGGGGTGGACAGGCGTGGAGCGTGATTCCGCGCTAGTTCTTGCAAACACTGAGGTCTCTCTTCTTCAGGAGTTTGACAATGTAGCCCTTCTTCCAATCGTCAGGTATCTTCCCTTCCTTCTAGACCTTCTTCAATAGTGATGTGAACATGTTCGCTGTTGTCTCTGTGTCTGTTCTCAGTGTTTCTGGTGGGATTCCATCTGATTGTGCTGCTTTCTCGCATTTCAGTAGCTTTATGGCGTTCAGGACTTCGACTTTTGTTGGAGGATTTATGTTCACTTGTAGTTCAGTGGCTGTAGGTGGTATTTCTGGACAAAGTGTAGGTGGTGGAGTGTTTTATTTCATAAAAATAATCGCAAATAGAAACTTACATTAATTTTACTAATGTACATATTGAGCAGTTGAGTAAGTTTTGCAAATTCATATCCCAACTCAATGAATTCATGACAATCAGAAGTAGTTGATGATTGATAACTTGAATCCGTATCTGAAGCAATAGATCGAAGAAATTTGTACATTGTTGGAATTTCTTGTTCAACAAATGAGTTCAATGCTTTCATATGAGGTTCTTTATCTTCGAATAATGTTAAATTAGCTAAATTTGTAAAACTTTTGCTATTAATGTCAAATTTCTAGATATACGATTATTTTCTGGTATAGATGAAGCTAAACCGAACAATACTGGACCATGTATTGCTGGACAGATAAAACGTAGAAATAAACAACTTGAAATTAGATGAGCAGCTGATTGAACGCCATGTGTTGCTTCGATAACAGCTGCCAGTGTAATGAAGACATCACGTAATTCCCTAGATTTTTGACAATTATGTTGCAAAGAAAAACAACACTATGTTAATTCATTTATACAGTATTTTTAAAAAAACAACAACATTAAAATATCTAATGCTTTATGTAGAGACAATTTGTTTGCCTATTACTTGGGGACAGAGGTAACCACTTCAATATCTTAGAGTTCTCTCTTACTGATGATGTGCTTTTAGAGAGAAGAAGCCTTTGAGTTACTGCTAAATGAAATCTTTAGTCTGTTTAGTTGTGTAAACAGCACTGTGTATCTCAGTAAAAGCGTTCAGAAGTCTTGTATATCAATCTATTGAAAGAGACATGATTGTACTGGTTATAACAATGATTTATCATTCAATACGATACGCCTTTCTCAAGCACTTTCAAGACTTCTTATCTCTGATATAAGTTAATAGCGAGTATTGCAAATCAGTCGTTCTCTAGTAGCACCTAATAAATTACTTCGAAAAGTTCGTATTTTTGACATTTCTCTAGCTTTCTGTACAGTAACGCCTTTGCTGTGTCAAAACTGTATTTTGTATCTTGTACAATATCTATATATTCTGGAAAATGAATTAGTTGTGTTCTCTGAGCTGGATAATTTCATCGTGAAACTTTCATTTTCATTCTAGACAACATTATCAGTACAAACTTCAGATGATGATGTTGTCTGGAAAATCAATGAAGGTTTCATGATTAAATCATTTAATTCAGAGAATATATACCATCAAAATTATCCTCATGAGTTATAAATATTCTCCAATATCCCGAAGTAGTCGTGCAATAAAAAGATACGGGAAATAAGCCCAGCTGATAAATTATTTACGGACTATCGTTTGACTATCTGAGATAGCTGTAGTTTGGCAGACTAGTATTGATACTGGATGATGATTGAAGATGAAATGGAAATTAAGACCGTGGCTGGATTCGAACCAGTGACCATGGGGTTACCTGCTCGATCATATTTTTATTTCACTCCAATCACCATGGGTTTTGCCCGACTACTATGTGAATTTGTGATGAGTTACTAACGTTTGATTGTATTCACATTGGTTGTCTAGTCAGTGAAATAAAAATGTGGTCAGCACTCGGACCTCGTAGCTCAGTTGATAGAACATCAGACCGGTTACCCAGTGGTTGATGTTTTGAATCTGGCAGTGATGCAAATTTTTCACTTCATATTCAACCATCACCTAGTATAATTACAGATTGTTGAGCTTTAGTAAATTGCTCTGAAACCTTCATAGATGATAATTCATTGTAACAGACCTTTAACTGAGTTGTTATTCTTTCTATTGAGTTTAAGATCTTTCTCTGAAGATGTTTTTCACCTTTGTTTAGAAGCTTACTATATGCCAAATGAAGTTTTGTTAAGGTCAGTCACCCAGTCAGTAAGTGGCCTAGTTAAACAATTTTCTGGGTATACTATTTTATTGCACATGATAACATATCCTCAGTCTAGTAAATCCACTAAACATCGTACTGGTTTCGAGCATTTTATCTTTCAAAAGAGCTTTGTTGTTAACATCAGTGATTTGTTTAATTTACAATGAATGGAATCTAATCTTACTAAATGAATCATATGCGTCAAAGAGATAGACTTCATTCAGATTTCATTTCTAAGCGCAAAAATTTCGTTCATTCATGTGTAAATCTCTTAACATTAGGTATGTACGATTTATTGGTGAGATTTTCAGCGTATATTATGTTCAGTAATTATCAATAGAACTATTTCAATCAGATTAGTGTAGGCAGATTAGCTTAAAGGTCATATTTCATGATATCTGATGGTAGAATGTAAAAGCAATAAACTTTATGCACTGATCAGCCGAAAGTGTATTTGAATACATCATCGAATGCTGCATAAATGTGTATGAATGTAATTTCAAGTAAACTGGGATTTTAGACAAAATTTATGTGGTAAGATGACCCGAAGTCTGGATATCTGTTGGAATATGATGATCTTCGGTGAAGACTTATGTGCAAATCACTGTCCTAGATTCCACTGCTACTCACCAAGATGAAGAAAATGCCCGTTCACATGTGTTGCATGATCCCTCAGACACCAATCACACACACACACAATCGTCATGCATCAAAAGACATCAACCCACTACAACTATCCTGCATCCCACGACACCACGTCATACACTCATCACCACTCCACCTCGTTCATACAGTCCCACACGTAACAAACAATGAACACAGCATGCAAGCCATTGCGATGACATGTGTAGCACATGTCAAAGTCACTGAAGCCGGTGTTCCCAGATGCCTCCACTCAGTGAATCACGACCTCAATCTCAATCTTAACCAAACACTCTGTCACACCTCAGAATTACTCACATGGTGTTGCACTGAATACGAACAATCCTAAGGAGACAACGATGATCGAACACACAGAGTTGTCGCACATTCTTAGCTCGGAGGGGTCAGGTTTAGCAGGTGTAGAGTAGAACTGCTCACACCGAAACATTGAAAACCCGACCTTTTACGGTAAGAGACTAACGTCACGATGGCACCAAAGTTGACCCAGATTGACGTATGCCAATATAGCCTTCGATATACAGTTGCGAATTTCACCACACACCTCTACCACTACTCACACAACTACCCAGATACACCAACTTCCCGACTACTTCCAATGCTTCATCACCGAGGGTCAGCTCAGGCACAGGCTACTGCCAATCTTACAAGACCACTACTTTGTGCTTCGATGATGCAAATCACATTAATTGAATGATTCTAATCAAATAAATTGAATGACAAATTACAAAATGAATTTAGGTTGCCTAAATCCTGCTTATTTCGGAACTGTGAAGTAATACGAATAATAAATTTCATGATATGGATAATAATTATAATTTATCAGAAGTGTACAACAAACTCACTTAGGCAGCTTGCATTGACTAGATTCAATTCTTTGCCAAATCAATCCAACATGTTTCAACAGAGCTGTACGATTTCTTTCTAATATAGCTTGTGATGAACTCCGATTGTTCGGCGTATTTGATGAATCGTTTAAACTTCCTAGTCTTGATGGATCAATCTCAAATTCATCTTCAATAACAAGTAGTTGATCAATTATTGAACTCAGCAGGTATTGAAGGTACTGAAAAGATGATAAATTATTCAAAAAAATTTGTTAGTCTAATGGATACAATGAAATTCTTGCAATTAACATCGACTAGAGTTTTGCATATGTAATTGGTATTTCATAGTTCAATTTTTTAACAGAATGTACCCCTTGGATGCTCAGCATGAGGTAACTAAAACGCTGCCAATTATGGTATTAACTAATGGGTAACAAACAAAGCGTATTTCGTGTTTTGTTTTACACTACTTACGAGTAGTTAGTTTAAATTATCGAAAGTATTAGTTATATTTGCATAGGTCTGTTTCATATAGAAATGTAATCGGATACATTTCAGAAGAGTTGATTCTCTTAAACGAAAGTTATTATGTTGATTTAGTCTGCTATGCATCTTCAAACTAAGTAAAAAAATGTTATATCCGTCTTAAGAAAGGTATATAGATCAAAGAAGAGTCAGCGATTTCATGGTTAAATCAATTTGATATCAGTGCATTATTGAAGATCAGACAATCTATAAGACACTAGCGAAGAGTGTATGTCCTTTATCTCCAAACCCGTGTTATACATTTTGGGTGTGAGAAGATAAGTTAGGTGAGACATAAAATTTCCCACTGTGTTATTACCGCCTCTTACCTCTAGGAAGTTAGTGACATTAAAAGGTTATCTAATCACCAGTCCTTTGAATCTGGTGACTTTGGAATCCTTTAACGATTTGAAGAAATAGCGGTGGCAAATGCAGAACACAAATAACTGGAATGCAAACCGAACTTGTTTACTGTTCTGTCCTTGGATAGACTTAACGACCCTGGCTAGCTCCTTAGATCTACATGCTGCACCTGAGAACCGTTAAAAAGGATTGGACACATCAAGTTGTCATGTTATGTCGGCTCAGCAGAATCTCTCATCCCATAAAGCTGGTTTCTCAGAGTTTGAAGATTTGAATACCACTATATTCCTAGCTATATTAATGATCTTAAGCAACATTTCCAAGACGCTTTCCCTGGACGGGAACATCTTAGAAGCTATCAGGCTCCTTCTTTTCAATGCTGCTAATATTTTTATTTATTTGTCTGGAAACTATTGTCCCGTTTTCATAACAATTAATTTAGGAGGGTAATTATAAGGGGACAGGTGTCTTCTTTTGTTTGATTTGTTGTCTCAAATTATTATTCTTTGTCCTTTGGGTTTCTAGTGGAACATAGGGCTTTAGTAGCACATCACCATTTCACTCTCTTCTCTGTAGTCTTCTCAACCTGGCTCCACGACTGCCCACAATCTTTCATTTCTTCCTCACATGATCTCCTCCATGTCACCCTCTCCTTGGACACCCAACTCGTTGTTTCCCCTTTGGATTCCACTCAAAGGCCTGTCTCCATATGGTTTCCTCCGTATGTGTCCAATCCATCTCCGTTTTCTTCTTCAGCATATTTGTTTGCCGATGGGTTGTTGGTTGGTTGGTTTGTTGCCAGCCAGCCAGAGTTCCTCCTTGCTCATTCTTTCTGGCCATCTGACCTTCAGTATCGGATGAGCGTAGGCAGCTGTTAATGAATGTCCATAGTTTGTTGGAAATGCTTTTTGTAACGCGCCAAGTCTCTCAGCCATCACACAGAAGGACTGGCTTGACCGACTTAGTGTTGAAAACCCGGAGTATGCCTGAGTATTATGTTGTACACCTTAACGACTAATTATAACCCCCATCTTAACTCCCTAAACCCTACCAGCTAGTTTCAAGTGACCTTGCAGTACCCATAAAGTCATAATCCAGCTAACAGAAAGCTAGTCAATCCTCTTTTCAGTAAAGTGACTAAAAGAATGGACTCTTTACTTTTGAAAATTGAAAACAGCTTGACTTATCTTCAGGTTCACATCTACATTCTACAAGACAATAAACAATTTATGCTTCATGTAACAGATGAACACGTTTTCATCACATGGAATTTATTAATCGCATTACTTCACAGTTCCGAAATAAACAGGATTTAGGCAACCTAAATTCATTTTGTAATTTGTTATTCAATTTATTTGATTAGAATCATTCAATCAATGTGATTTGTATCATCGAAGCACAAAGTAGTGGTCTTGTAAGATTGGCAGTAGCCTGTGCCTGAGCTGACCCTCGGTGATGAAGCATTGGAAGTAGTCGGGAAGTTGGTGTATCTGGGTAGTTGTGTGAGTGGTGGTAGAGGTGTGTGGTGAAATTCGCAACTGTATATCGAAGGCTATATTGGCATACGTCAATCTGGGTCAACTTTGGTGCCATCGTGACGTTAGTCTCTTACCGTAAAAGGTCGGGTTTACAATGTTTCGGTGTGAACAGTTCTACTCTACACCTGCTAAACCTGACCCCTCCGAGCTAAGAATGTGCGACAACTCTGTGTGTTCGATCATCGTTGTCTCCTTAGGATTGTTCGTATTCAGTGGCAACACCATGTGAGTAATTCTGAGGTGTGACAGAGTGTTTGGTTAAGATTGAGATTGAGGTCGTGATTCACTGAGTGGAGGCATCTGGGGACACCGGCTTCAGTGACTTTGACATGTGCTACACATGTCATCGCAATGGCTTGCATGCTGTGTTCATTGTTTGTTACGTGTGGGACTGTATGAACGAGGTGGAGTGGTGATGAGTGTATGACGTGGTGTCGTGGGATGCAGGATAGTTGTAGTGGGTTGATGTCTTTTGATGCATGACGATTGTGTGTGTGTGTGATTGGTGTCTGAGGGATCACGCAATTCTGTGACTTGAGACGTTATCAGAATGGAAACCAGTGGCAATCATGCTGTAGCTTCCTTCTATCTTCAACTATTTTAAAGTAAGAAATGTTTCGTTTCTCATGTATCTTACTGGACTGCCCTTCTAAACATTCCATTGTTACTGTTTTTCTTTTTAATTTATCCACTTCTGTTCACTTTATGTCTTCACAATGTTGTTATATCATTTTGTGTGGCGCATTTTTTATTCCCGTAGCTGTACCACGCTTATGTTCTAATAATAATAATAATAAATAAATCGTTTGATTTCATTCATATTTCTCAAGCTTTAAATGTTTAAGTTAATGAATGGATTCCCACTCAGTGGTCTAATAGTGACATGTTCGCTACGAAATCTGACGGTCTTGGGTTTAATCTATATTGGAGGTTTGTGTGCACGCTGCTGAGCAGTCATATACTCGGACAAAACAGCTTCCCAGCACACCCAGACGTTTAACAGCTCTCCAAATGATGTCATTCCGCGATGAATACTATTTTGAAATAAACAAAAACCCACAAAACTCAAAGTTGGAAGGAAGTTTTACCACATCTTATTGACTACACGTGGAATAATAGTTGATCTTCACCACATACTCAAAAAGCTAACTAGAACACAAATGATCGTAATTGGTTATTCAGAGAAGGATACAAGCAAAAACAGTATTTCATTAGTATATTTCTACCGTTAGTTTTACTGGAAGCTTTAGGTTAGAAGAAAGTATGCTAACATTTTAAAAAGAACATGGTCAAAATTCTGAAATGTACACGAGGAAGTATATAATTCATAATTTTTCTTCACTTAAGACATATATGCAACTACTATAGAGATAGTGAGAGTATCATTTTTGGATAGTCGGAAGGTGTGGCAATTCGAGAATGTTTGGGATGCGTTTCTCACAACACAAATCCAAATTGTTACTCCACCATTGGTCTTCAACGGTGGTTGAGTGTGTTGACCACTTCACTTACCTGGGAAGTAGGATCAGCCCTGATGGCTCAGTGGCCGACAAAATCTATGCAAAATCTATACAAAAGGCTCGCCTGGCTTCTGCCAACTTACGCCACCTATGGCACCGCCCTGATATCCGTTTGTCTATTAAGGGTCGCCTGTACTGCACAGCAGTACACTCTGTTTTACTCTATGGCTGTGAAACATGGCCATTCAAGGTGCAAGACATGAGAAGACTTCAGGTGTTTGACCACCGTTGCCTTCGTAGTATAGGCTAGGCCATATTCCATGGTGTCACCACGTGAGTAATGCAGGAGTCAGGTGTAGAGTCTTAGGGAGTAGAGGTAAATCAGTTGACGAGGTTGTGAACCTTCATCAACTGAGATGGTTGGGACACATACTACGTATGCCTGCCTAGCCACCGATTGCCTCGTCACACAATGTTGGCCGAAGTAGGTCCAGGCTGCAAAAAGGGCCGAGGTGGCCAGACTAAAACATGGCACCAATGCACGAAGTCGCTGACTGTTGGTTTGAGCCATGTAGGGTGATGCTGACTAGTTGGTTAGGGTCCGCGGGACAAGAGGAAGCAGTGGTTGCAGACTCTAGGTGATCACATGGCTCAGAACCGATGTCAGTGGCGCAGATGTATACACATATTATCCTCAACTTAACGACGCTATACCGAGTCTCACCATTTTCTCATTCTTCGTTTCTCTCTTTTCGTACTTTATATTTTTTTCGACTGAATTTTCTTATCTTCATCTTGCGCCTCACTACCATTTTACTTGATGTACTGATATGATGTGTGGCAACTCGGAGCGTTACGCAGTAATGTCTGGTCCTAGGTTGATCTGGATGGATGGATGGAGTCGGAAAATGTTTGGCTGGCTAGGTATAAGTTAACGTCTAGGGGAATCACATAGATGTAATTTACGCTGTGATCAAAGAATTTTTCACCACCGTATCATTTTGTAAAGAGAAATGTTACATCTTTACCAAGACAAACAAAATCAATGTAGAAACTATTACTACAAAAGTATGTTAGTTCAAGTTGTCACACTTCATAGCAACATGGAAGAACAAGTGAATGGAGAAAGATTGATATCAACGTAGACAAATGTGTATGCGATGAGAAACAATTAAAAAATTAGGGCTGATCAATACATTCAAGCTTTGAAAGACATCGAAGTGCAAGTACGTTTGCTCCATTGTGAACTATTTTTCACTATTTTATCTAGAGTCATCAAATCCTGATTGCTGTCGTCTTGAGGAGCCCAGCTGAGTGGTCGACATTCCCTACATGGTTCATTCAAACAGTCAG